TCCATGCAAAACTGTTGTAAAACTAAAATGGATTTTTCTTTTAAATGTCAATAGTTTCACAGTCGATATTAATTTCATAATTTTAAAACAAACTGTTTTTAAATTTGTCTCTTGAAGAAATACGTAACGCAGCTCAAATTTCTTCGCCCGATTTAAAGAGTTATGAAGAAATGATAGATTTTTTCTTATTATTGAAGATGAGGAATATGATATGGTAAAAGATAAGTCAAATTAGTAAGACTGACTAAAACTGAATCAGGTTTATTTCAGTTATAGTGAAATTTTATAAATAGACAATTTTCATATAAAATGCCTTGACAAGTGTAAATGTGTGTGACCAGATTGTTAGAAATGTATAGCACAAATACATCGGATTTTTCAGATCAATTACATCTTCTCATTGTTCTATGTAAGCTTTGTTGAAATATACACTTTTCTCAAATGGAATTCACTTGTTATGTATGATAATAAGTTTAATTTGAAAATTTTGTTTGTCAATAATAAACGATTCGTATATTAGTTAAGAAAATTTGAATTACACAGAAATAAAAGATTGGAAATATGAATAATAACACAATTGTTCTTAGGGTATATACTAATTCAATATGGAGACAAGGTGACGTGCAGATATATATATATATATATATATATATATATATATATACCAGTCAGTCAGTCAGTCAGATGCAATGTAGAACTTCATACGACAGTACATCAGTTCATGTTGCCATACCACATCAGCACAGAGATGTAATTGTCAAATCAAATCCAATAGTAGAAGAGGTGGTAAAGGTATTAGAAGCAATCGGAGAGGTTAGGATTAGAGGATATTATTCAAGAAGTATGATTCAGTGAGAAAAGTTTAGAAACTCAAAAGTAGAGGGACTGAAGAATCCAGAAGATTAGGATTTGAGAGAACATAAAGAATAAATGCACCGGCGCCATTCCGAACGATTTTGAGCCATGTCATTCAAGGTCTCTAACCACCGATTATTATCATCTCGCGGACCACAACCAGGTAGTCGACTATTACCGACATGGCTAAGTCCACTCGTCAATGATTTCATGGATTAATGCCATGTTTTGGTCTGGCCGCCCCTAACTTTCTTCCAACCTACTCCTACACTACAAAACAAAGCTCGTCGAGGCAGTCGGTGGTTGGGTATACGCAGCACACGTCTCAACCACTTCAACTGATGAAGTTTCATTACTTCATCTATTGATCTGCCATCCTTACCTAGCACCCGATTCCTAATAACAGAGTTGCTCACTCTGGTGTCCCAGGATATACGAGCAATGCTTCGAAGAGTCCTATGTTCGAAAACCAGTAACTTACGAATATCTTCTACTCTTACCGGCCATGTTTCACAGCCATAAAGTAAGACGGAGCGAACTACTGCGCAGTACACTCGTTCTTTAATCAGCAAAATATATATATATATGATCGCTTTCAGTCATACCTAGTCTAATCAGGATAAGATGTATATATTTTTAGTGGCTGCATTAAATTTGATGTGGGGCTGCTCATCATTTAAGTGGACCGCGATTTGACTTCAAATTTGGACGAATGATGGGAGTAGGCGATGAAAAGATCTTCCCTTCACTGTTCGCATAAGATTCTGAGGTGAACCTTGTGTTGTGTAATGGCAGTAATAAGCAACCAAATACAAATTCAGTTGAATAAATTTATTTCATGCAATCATTTACGCAGACAGACTTGAGTATACGAGGCGAAACGGAGAAGGAGAGTGAAACAACGCAACGCCATGAAACATGATCAACAACTAGTTACAGTCACAATAAAAATAGGCTAGATATGTGATGAACAAGGCTAGCTAGCATGAACACAAACGCACACTCAGATAAAAAAAACGGTTATGATTGACTAAGCCCTGTAGGTTCGACATATTTATACACGCACTAGAATGTATGATTTTACGTAATATAATTAATGCCTATTTCAATCGACGAGCAAGGTGGATCGGATGCAGATGTGAAGGCGAGGAGGATCGGCAAAGCAAGGGCTGAATTTCTACAATTGAACAACATCTACAACTCAAAACAACTATTAACCAGCAGCAATAAAATCAGAATTTTCAATACAAATGTCAAGACAGTTCTACTGTATGGGGCGGAAACTTGTAAAAAAACTGCCGAAGTCATCATCCACAAGATACAAGTGTTTATTAACAGTCGCCTACGCAAAATACTTCAGATCCGTTAGCAAAACGCTCATCAGTAACAACCTACTACTGCGGGAAAGAACAAAAGCACTGGAAGTGGATAGGACACACATTACTGAAAGCACCGAACTGCGTCACAAGACAATCAATCCCTCACCAGAAACCCTCAAGATCAAAGGAAGAGAGGAAGGCCAAGGTTAGAGAATACTAGTCGGTGCGGCCTATGCTCCATTGAGAGTAACAGCGGTAAGTCCTACCATGGCTTACATAAGATTTAATTAGTAAAATAAAAAAACTAAGATATATCATCGAAATAAAAGACATAGTACATACATTATATTTCATTATGTAGATATTCATTTTTAAGCAAACTAGGGAAGTACAAATCTGGATTGAAATAAACCCAGGCAATAATAATATTAATAGCAATAGTTGTTGTGTGACCTTGAAATAGTTGTGATTATTTATTTATTCATTAACTTTACACATTCTTGTCAAATTTTTTTTTTCGCTTCAAAATTACTTTTTATATAAGCCTGCATTTTTACATTTTCTTCTTCATGGAATAATTTTGTCATTATGAACAATTTAATAATATTAGTGGAATTTCTCTCTAAAAAAAAATTTTATCTGAGTATTTTTATCTTATGACCTCTGGCAAATATAACAGCCTGGATCAATGCAAACTTATGATGCTGGGAAGTGGTATTGTTAACAGTAGTTACTAGTAGTAGAGTTCAACTCTGTCAGGTGTATGCAGGGTTACACATACCGGAAAAAAAAATTGAGTGCGGTCACGTGAAAACCCTAGATTGATCAAGGTTAGACATGAATACCGTTTGAATGTCGCCGGCTTAGTGGTCTACAAGTGAGACGTTCGCCCGTGCGAGATCGAAGGTCTTGGGGTTGGATTGCGCCCCGAGCGGGGGTCGTAGATGCGCACGCACTACGATTGATGAGTCCCATACTAAGACTTGATAGCTGTCCACTACTTCCAGGTTTCTAATGATACTTGCGGATTGGTTGTGTCATTTAATTCTATTGTGATATGAATTTGATCGATACACACTTCTGCAAACTATTATAATATTACTATTTATCTTATTGATCAGTAGTATGTAAATGTGTTCGTGTAAATCTAATTTCACCAATCTAATCATCATTCTATGCAATAATTAACAATGCATGTGAAATTAAAGACTATTATTATTATTATTATTATTATTACTACTATTACTGTTATTATTAATAATAGTATTACTATTATTATTATACCCATTAATTTATACAATAGACAATTTTTGTGACAGTGAACTTTATGGAACTACTAATTGACAATGTAAAATGAAAGTTTATAGTATACAATAATAGTATAGAAGAGTGAAGATTATTGTGTATGTAGTATGCATAAGTCGATAATGAACAAAGATTAGTTTTTTTTATATTGGAATCATGAATCAATCATTGTTAGACCACACCATTTGAATACTTGGAAAAAACACTGGATGGATGTCAATTCCTAGTATGGGACTGAGAGCAATGGCAGTGGGCATCCACGACCCCAGGCTCATGGGAATCAAACCCAGGAATTTACACTTAGATGTCACGCACGAACGCTCAACTTATAGACCATTGACTGGTGTTCATGTGCAACTCACTAAATCAAATACATGTGTGGTTACTCGGTTTAAAATCCGAGATCTATATATATGTAACCTACTTACTTGCGCGCCTGTTTTACCCCTAATGGAGCATAGGCCGCCCACCAGTTTTCTCCACACTATATATGTAAGGGCTAGTAATACTAACAGGTTTGAAAAAACTACAAATGGTGTGTGGTGCGCGCTACTTATAAGTAGTATATGACGTGAGTGTAAACGTAATGTCTGGCAGCAGAAGATGGGGGAAGATCAAGAAAGGAAGAGTGGGGGGAACACAATGGAATTTGTATGAAACGCATGAATAGTGAAATGTCAGACAATGGATTGATGATGGATTGAAGATTTGCAAATTAACGGTTACGATATGGTTTTCCTATTTTACTGAGTAACTCTGTAATTTTCGTTAAATACAATTCGGTTGCCCTCACCTATGTTCTCCTTCACTACAGGTGGGCAGTTGTTACCTACGGAAAACAATGGACGGGGAGTTACGCAAAAAGCTTAGCTTGGTCAAAGTTAGACATTAACACCATTGGATGCCGGCCGTCTCAGTGGTGTCTACAGGCTAAGCGTTCACGTGTGCGAGATGCTGGGTTCGATTTCCGCGGGTGGCGGTCTTCGATGCACACTGACACTGATGAGTCCCATACTAGGACGAAACAACTTTCTAGTACTTTCAAGTTTCTAACGATGGTCTAACAATGATTGATTCACAATTTCAATACTATTTAATAGTTAAAATGTAAGAGATGTTTATGTTATTATACAGTAAACAATCTTTTTTTTTCCAATCATATTTGGTGGTATGATCATCATCATCATCATCAGCATCATTCTATCGCATTTTATTCACGTGATCGACTTGATGACGATTTACATTAATCATACAAACATTTTTTTTCTAAATTATTCGACTTCAAGTTGATTGAAAAAAAAACACAACACAACATAAAACTGATTCTATAGTGAGACATAATTTTGACGAAAAACACTTGAAATCTACTTAGAACGATGGTTATCGTTGGATGAATAATGAAATAGAAAACAGAACACCGCCGTAAAAAAAAGTAATGTGAGATTATATTATGCATATAATTTATAAAATCATTCTGTCTTTACATAGAAACAACAACAACAAAAAAGATACACTTCTTACCTTTCATTTTCATTCCAACTAATAAACATTTACGATAACGACAAATTTGACATTTGCCACGACTACCTTTGGCTACGATACAATTACCGCCAGTTGGACAAACATTTGTCGGTTTGGTATCAGCCATTGAATGACGCATGAAAAATTTCTATGGAATTAGGCAAGAGAGAGAGAGAGAGAAAGAGAAAAACATAGAAAGAATTATCATTGAATAGTCTCGTTTTGAATTAATTAGTGGTGAATTCAAGAGAAAAAACATATGACAATGATAATGTTTTACGAAAAGTAAATTACCATAAGAGAAAAAAAAAGTAAACATAATGGCGTTGTGAAGATAGTTGAGTTACTTTTCCGAAATCATGAATCCATCATTGTTAGACTGCTGCTAGAAACCTGGAAGCACTGGACGGATATTTCATCCTGATATGAGGACTACAGGTCCTGGGTTTGAATCCTACTAGTAGCGAGAGTCGTGGATGTGTACTGCTGATGAGTCCCATACTAGGATGAAACGGCCGTCTAGTGCTTCCAGGTTTCCAATGGTTGTCTAACACTGATCGATTCATGATTTCAATATATATATATATATATATATATATATATATATATATATATATATATATATGCAAATGAAATGAAACAGAGATTCAGTTTTTAACTAACCAATCAATTAATAACTGAATGGCCTAATTTCAGCAATCAAATTAGTAGTTTGCGTTCATTAATTAATCTGATGAAAGAGGTGAAATTCTTACTTGAGTGCAAAAAACAACATCATGAAGTTGGCTACAATTAGAGCATATTCATCATTTAGTTGGCATTTTCTTATTTTAGACATATGTATAAAGTTAGTCAAACATCGCATTGATCATGAATAGTCTCTCCAAGGATTCGAAGCAATCAGATCATGTGAGTGTCACTGCTTGTTCAAACCAATAACACAATGGTTGTCGAACTACAGACATTTTGTGATGTAAAATTTATGAAGCTTAACACCGATCACAAATCCCTCGTGCTCCAATAGATTATGCGTTTCCTACAGTTCTAGTTTAGTTTAGCTATGTCGGGTGTGAAACACAGTTACTTACTACTGGAAACAAAAGGTAACAACAACTGTACAGTATAACACGCTGGTTTAAGTTTTGAATGTAAAACTATTAGATTTCGATTCACAGGTCTAATAAAGGTTAACCGCTCATTGCAATACGAATGTGTAGAATGCGATCTTCAATGGGATTATGTATGCACACCCTATGTGAAGAGTCTCATCATACTACAACAAAATAGCCATCCAATGTTTCCAGACACTCAATGGTAATCGAACAAAAGTCCAAAAGTATGATGTAAACTGATAAAAGTTAAGTGTCATACCACCACCATTTTTTTTCTATGCTAATCTGAAAAATTATCATGATTATGAGAACGAACTGGCTATATATATATGACATAAAAAATGAATAGTAGTAGGATAAACAATAGGATAAACTAGTGACTAATAATTTTGGATTGTGACTCTCTAAAACTAAAAGTCATGTTTTATATAAAACATGACTTTTGCCCAGAATAATCACTGGAACTATATATATGTCTATTATGACTCGACATGAATTATGTTTAATCATAACATAGTAAGATAAGTTAACCTCGAGTAGAGAAGAGAACAAGAATTTCTAAGGGTAAAATCATGAGATGTAATAACATGAGTTTGTTAGAGCATATATATATATATAATTTAGACCAAATTAGTGATGTTAGATAAATGTATATAGATAATGACAGAAATTATTGAACAAATTGTAATTAGAGAAATGAGATAAAAATCTTCTACAATGATTAACCGGAGGCGGGGGGAAGGGCGAGAAAAAAAAATACTTTTGATAAAAACCGACATACAAATGAGGAATAAATAGTTAGATTAATTCAGTAAGCAGACTAAACGACACAGATTGGAATGGATGGTGATATATATATGCAGGATCTTGAGTAACCAATCATACATCTGCCTAAATTGGATAATTATCTCATATCTGATAAAGGATTGAACTCCATTGGTTAAGGCCTTTCATTAGAACTCATGAATTGATTGGAGTTACACATTGGCGCTAGTCTAGTGGCTTTCAGGTTTTTAATGTTGGACTAACCAAGAGCAGTTTGTGATTTTAACTCTGAAAATACTAATACAATCTCCTATAGTAATAATCATAATAATAGATAAATTGTCGGAAAGAAGAATCAACCAAAAAAGAGACGAGTTGAAGCACAAATAATAATACAGAGCTCACATGGACACAAGGTATAAAGACTAGATAGTATTATTAGACCAACGGCAAAAACAAACTGTGATGTTTTCAGTCAGTCAGTCAGATGCAATGTAGAACTTCGTACGTAAGTACAACAGTTCATGTTGCCATACCACATCAGCACAGAGAATTAACTGCCAATTCAAATCCAATAGTAGAAGAGGTAGTTAAGGTATTAGAAGTAATCGGAGAGGTTAGGATTAGAAGATATTATTCAAGAAGTATGATTCAGTGAGAAAAGTTTAGAAAGTCAAAACTAAAGGGGTTGAAGAATCCAGAAGATTAAGATTTGAGAGAACACAAAGAATAAATGCACCGGCGCCATTCCGAACGATTTTGAGCCATGTCATTCAAGGTCTCTAACCATCGATTGTTATCATCTCACGGACCCCAACAAGATAGTCGATAATTACCGACATGGTTAAGTCCACTAGTCGATGATTTCATGGATTTCTGCCATGTTTTGGTTTGGCCACCCCTAACTTTATTCCAACCTACTCCTACACTACAAAACAAAGCTCGTCGAGGCAGTCGGTGGTTGGGCATTCGTAACACATGTCCCAACCACCTCAACTGATGAAGTTTCATTACTTCATCTATTGATCTGCCATTCTTACCTAGCATCCGTGTCCTAATAACAGCGTTGCTCACTCGGGTGTCCCAGGATATACGAGCAATGCTTCGAAGACACCTATGATCGAAAACCAGTGACCTACGAATATCTTCTACTCTCACTGGCCATGTTTCACAGTCATAAAGTAAGACGGAGCGAACCACTGCGCAGTACACTCGTCCTTTGGTCAGCAAACGGGTATCTCGCCTACGCCATAAGTGACACAGGTTGGCAAAAGCCAATCGAGCCTTCTGTATCCGTGCTAGACCAACAACAGAGGAGTCACGTTTACATAATAATAATACACAGTTTGAATGAATAATTAGGGAAGTATATCTTCTTGTATACAAAGATTAACTCTATATATATATATATATATATATATATATATATATATATATATATATAATACTTGCTGCTATTATTAAGCTTACACATTTAAAAATTATGAAATAATAGTTAAGTAAAATTAAAAAAATATATATATATATCATTGTCATATGATTATTTATTTATTTTTTTTCAAATATCGGCATTGAACTTTAATCTTCCATAAATATCACTGTGAACATACTTATCACAGAAAAAAAGTACGAAAAAAAATGAATCAGTGTTTGTTATTACTAGGAATGTATAACATTACACAACAAGTGTACATACATACTTACATTCATACATAGATAGATTGATATACATTAAAATTCAGGTGATTTTATTATACTATGTCATAAAGATGACGTTTTAATCAAAAATAGAAATGCGAGAATGACTTCTTTAATTTTTTTTTATCACGAGAAATAAACATACAGAAGCTTTAAGTCTATGACATAGAAATATATACAAATATATATACATAAACTTGTTCTATGTGTGATGTTAGCAGGTGATACCTAAAAAATTTAGAAAATATTTATATTATGTGTGTTAAGTTTTCTATGAAAGAGCTGTTATATAATCAACATTAGTATGTGATGAATATACACAAACAGCACTGATATCAATCAGTCAACTACAATGTAGAACTTCGTACATACATACATATGTACATCTGTTCAAGTTGTCATACCACACATTAGCAAACAGAGATCAACTTGTCAATACAAATCCCATAATAGTAGAGGTAGTAGAAGCATTGGCAGTAATCAAAAAGATTGGTGACCGAAGATATTATTTAAGAAGTATTATATCTCAAAGGAATCAGTTTAAAAAGACAGAGGTAGACAGTCATGAAGAATTCAGAAGATTAGAATTTGAGCGAAGACAAAAATTGAATGCACCTGACTGTGAGCCATGTCATTCAGGGTCTCTAGCTATCGATTATCATCATCTCGCGGACCCCAAACAGGTAGTCGACATCTACCACCATGGATCAGTCCACTTGTTAATGACTTCATGGATTTCTGCCGTGTTTTGGCTTAGCTGTCCTTAGCTTTCTTCCAACTTATTCCTACATCGCAAAACATTGCTCAGCGGGGCAGTCGGTGCTCAGGCCTAGGCAACACATGTCCCAACCAACTTCAACCATTGATCTGCCACCCACACACAGGACCCGTTCCCTAACGGCAGTATTGCTTACTCGGTTGTCACACGATAATCGAGCAATGCCTCGGATGCACCTATGATCGAAAACCATTAACCTTCAAATATCTTCTACTCTGAATGGCCATGATTCGCAACCATAGAGTAGGACGGAGCGAACTGCTGTGCAGTACACTCGTCCTTTGTGGTTAGCAAACGGATATCACACCTACGCTATAAGTGACGCAGGTTAGCGAAAGCCAATCAAGCTTTCTGTATCCGTGCTGAGATTTCTTCACACACCAGGCCATCAGCATTGATGACACTCCCCAGATAAGTGAAGTGGTCAACAGGCTCAACTGCTCCACTACCTATCACTAGTTCAGGTGCCGATACAAGCCAATCCTGAAGCAACATTTTGCATAATCACAAACAGAATTATTGCACAATGCAAACAAAGTCATTAAAGTGGCTTTCATTTTATGCAGTGCATGGCCAGAATGTATAAGTATTGAATAAAATTTAAAAAAAAAATAGAATAATTCACATATATATACACATATTCCACACTTTGTTTACTTGAAATGTACACATCGTATAACTAGTGAATAAGACAGTAGTAATACATCGAGATTATGTTGATCAGATAAACAGAGAACACAACTTCAAAAATGAAATGGAACTGAACAGGATTTACATTAGTGATTAATGACATTT